TAGAAATATCTTGTTTCTTCGTGAATGCCCTAGCATTTACTAGATATAGAGTAGTCTGGTATATATAAGATTGTCACAACGTGACGGGATAGTGTGTGTGTAGACAGTGAGTAATTGATCTGCAGTCAGAGAGTATTATTGAAGTTGAGCACGTTCATTGTTATAGCATTTGTTTTAGTGTGATTGTTGAAATTAAGTGTATCATAAAGCTATATTTGGAAAGAATAAACCAGTTTTATTAAGTAAGGACTTGTGTCGCTAAAGTTTAGTCGGAAAGAAGTTACAGAAAATTAATTAACAAACGGAAACGTAACAATATGAAAGAAAAACTTGCTGAGTAATTTTATAAAGGGATGTTGGTTTTACTGATTTATTTTGTACTTTTCAATGCTTTGTTTTACTATTATATCACTTATTTCAGATACAACAATTTTCTATATTTTTACTTGAATACCATCTCACGGTGGGACAGTGGTAAGTTTACAGACTTACAACCCTAAAATACGGGGTTCGATTTCCCATGGTGGACACAGTAGATAACATAATGTGGCTTTGATCTAAAACAAAAGAACAAACAAATACTTGAACACCAGTGCTGCTCTCTATTACAAGATGTTCTTTTTAGTATCTTGAAGATGTATGTCCGTAAAGTATATCGTTGCTTTGAATTAGTACCTTTATAGGTGGTGTATATATTTGAAGACTTTTAAAATATGCACTTGTAATAGTAGTTTTGTTTTATGATTTCCACTATGTTTGTATGTGCTGTCATTTTTTTGTTTTTTAAATTCTTCTGATTTCTAAACCTAAAACGTACACCAAATAATTCCTTTCTCTCACAAATTTAAGAGTAGGTGCCAAGGTAACTAAAAAACTATTGGCCAGAATGTATAATAATTAATGCATATTGCACATAACATTGTACATATTGTATTTCCATCACCTAAGAATAAAGATAACAAAAATATTTTTTTATAGTAGTTACACTATATTTTAGGGAATATATCTCAAGTCTTGTACAAGTATACAGTTTAATTTAAAGGCAATTTCGATGAAGTGCCATAAAGTTAGTCTATTTCTATTCAGCCAGTTTTCTAAGGGTCAATGTACAATTTATTTATAGCTTTGATCAGAAGCTAACAATAATTCATTATAAGCACAAACAAGCTGTAAAATAATAGATTAAAATGTTTGCCTCTAATATAATGTAGTTTATCTATTGATAGATTACTGGAATAGTTTTTGTTGTTATTTTGTTAGTGTTGGACAGAAACAGCTGGTTTGCCTTGCTCGAGCTCTTCTCAGGAAAACCAAAGTACTAGTGTTGGATGAAGCAACAGCAGCTGTGGATCTTGACACTGATTGCTTAATCCAGAACACGATTAGGAAAGAATTTAGCCAGTGTACCATCATCACCATCGCTCATCGGATAAATACCATAATGGATTATGACAGGTAAATGACAAAACCTCTAATGATTACTAAAAAAACACAAATTCTTTGTACCTTTTTTAGTGTGAATGAGTTTGATGTTCCATGAGTTGGACTTTCCATAACCTAAATATACAGATATTTATTTTGTACATCAGAATGACACAAGTTAGAACAAGACAGTTTTACTGCTCTTGATTGAGAAGTTTTATTTATGGTACTAAAGGTGCTTTACTACCTTCTCTTGGAAGGTTATTATTTCTCCATACTAAAATATGCAAAGATGTGAGCACTTTATTAAAGATTCATTAAATCTCAAAAACTGTTGAAAATCAATGTTGATGAGTGGGGATAAATACTTTTACTGAACCATCAACTATGTCTAAGTAGTGTGTTGTTTGTTACCACTTCAAACATTGATCGGTGTGTTGTAAATAAAAATTTTTCTTTCCAAATGCTGTTGCTGATAGAAATTAGATGATTATTTGAGGTATAAATGGAATCACCATCAATGACTTGTTAAATAAAAAAAATATGACTTATTTTTTTGTAAAATCCCTGAAAGAACAACTTATTGCAGAGGAATTTAAAAATCTAAATTTAAATTTAGATGAAACTTTACCAATAATTTGAATGCGAAGTGTAGATTTACCTAATTAACTAAGTTATGATTCTTGAATTATTTTTTTCCACATTTTACTGTAATGCCATTTCAAAAATGGTTCTTATAAGCTTAGTTGTCAAGTGTTTTTGATCATCACAGTGATAAGTTTGATGAGAAACCAAAAATAAAAGTTCTGTCAAATATGAAGGTTATTTCCCAAGAGCTACCAAGAGAAGGTATTTAAATGAGTATAAAATCTTAAATCACACATCATAATCAACGTTTTATTTTCTTTTTTTTCAAAAAATTGAAGAGACCTAAATTAAAATAATTCTACTTTAAAAAATATCCATAATGCATCACTAATTGTAGATTATTATACTCTTAAACTTTTTAAAAAATAAATAATCACACTGTCTTGCTACTCTGAAAATAAAAAATTGTATTAATAAAATTTTTTAAGCATGATATATATTCATGGAAATTCCTTTCACTTTTAAGCCATCATTCAGAATAGGGGCCATTCAAAAATTACAGGTTCTAAAGAAAACAAAACACATTAAGTTCAATAAAAAAATCTTAATCATTCACAAATAGTGTAAACAATTAACTGTATTAAATATCCAGTACACAATTAAGTGTAAATTTAGCTGTGTTACTGTTATTGTGGTTACTAATTAATTCACACTTATACTTTTTCAATGTGAAAGAGAGTATTTTATAATGTTTTTAATTGATAGGTTCTCATAAAATAACTTATATTGGGATCATCATTAATGGTTGACCACTAACTTGTAAAACTGAGGTATGTGGTAACACTATCAAACTGTTCAAGAAGTTAAATTAGTTTTCAAACAACGTAAACAAAATTGTCATTGCTAAATTTGTTGAAATGTTTCTTGCTCCAGGGTGATAGTGATGGATGAAGGTGTGATCAAGGAAAATGGAAATCCCACAGAACTACTCTCAAACCCAGAATCACTGTTTTATTCTATGGCCAAAGATGCTAATCTAATAGATTAAAACTTCCACCTTAAAAGTCAATCAAGCTACATAAAATAATGATAAGAAAAATAACTAGTTTTATGTTAAGAGATTTAATTACACAAACAGCTACTTGATTTTTAGTGCCAAATATTTATCGTACCAAACCTAACATCCAGTAATTACAAGCATCAAGAAGAAGTTGCTGCTGGAATTATTTTAAATACAGTTGAGCATTTCCAAAGTTAAATAATTTGGTACTACTGAAATGCATTTTGTTAATTGTTAATGCATATGTTATACTTTTGAAAAATAAGACAAAAAAGAGAGTAACAGTTACAATGAACAATATAGCATTTGATGGTTGTGTTGAAGTTTTATGTAATTTTACTAACTTAGTACAGAGAGATAATAAAATGTGATTTTTTTGTTTAAGTCTTCATAAATTGCTGTTGTGGTATCTTTTGTAATCTAGCAATACATGTATTGCTTTTCTCTATGTGTAATATAGATTATGTTTTGTTCATATTATTTGTTGCTGATTGCACAGTTGTAGTATTAGAAATATACAGATTATAGATACTGTTGGATATCAACTGCTGTAATTCTATGTATTTTCTTATAAGGGTAACTGTAAATATTTCGTATCACTTTTCTTATGGCCTGGGTGTGGCCCAGTGGTTAGTGTGCCAGACTGTGGAGCTGAGGTTCCCCACTGTGGGGTGTTTTTGCATTACAAAAGTGGAGGTCAAATTCCACTATTCAGTTTGACAAGAGTAACCTAAGAATTGACAGTGGGTTGTGTTGATTAGTTGACTTCCCTCTAGTGTATCACTTCAGAATTAGAGAAGACTATTGCATATAACTTTAGTGTAAGTTTGCACAAAATACACAACAAACAAAACTTCTCTTATTGTACAAAGTATGTTAAAACATTACTGAGAATGGATGAAAATGTGAGTATAGTGCCATTTTTGGGTATCATAGGAGACAGCTTCATTCAGAAATTTGGTTCATCTTCCTTACATAGTTATTATATGCATTAAAATACACAATATCATGCAAGTAATAAAAACAAACCAATTGGGAGTTTAATATTGAAGCTCACTTAACAGTTAATCAAATAATTATTTTTAATTCACTACTCCACTTAAAATTACATGTAACAAGTAAATGAATCACCTGTTATGCTTCACTTAATGAGCTAAACATGGGATTAAGTTTAAATTTTGCCTGATCACAACCAAAAAACCCTAGAGTATATTATATCAACTAAATTATTTAAATTTCTAAAATTGTTTCAGTACACTATTTCAAACAACTCTTACAGATATTATATGCCGATGGAAAAAAACGTATGAAACAAATAAACTGCATTAGTTACCCCTATAAACCAATGTTCACCATATAGTAAATTTTGTAATTTTCTAAATGTTTTATGTTGATATTCTATTCAGTGGTACTGAATGTTTTACTAATAATTCATTAAAAAAAAACAGTAAAAATAATTCAAAAACCTGGTATACCTGTATACAAGAAATACTAAGAGAGTTTGTTTCAAAAGCTAAAGTTTATCAACAGTGCCCAAATCTTTCCTTATTACAGTGAGATATATCCAAATATTTAGAGACATTGGCCATGAAATAATAAAATTTTCGTTTTGCTCATACATAAAAAAAAAATAGTAATAAACCTGAAGAGAACTGATTTATGTAACATACACATACACTTTATGCAAAATTTTTGATAGTTTTGTGCATTTATATGTAACAGCTTTCAAGTTGTGGACCAGCAAGTTCTATTTGTGATGTTAAGGTAGATGACTTTAGACCTGGTACTGCTGAACATGCTTAACAAAAAATGACTCAATCCTGGCATTTGGTCCAAAGAATTAAATAAAGCCTTTGTAGTAGCAAGTGCTCCTGACTGGTCACTCTTCCTTTGGTATGTAGTTCAAAATTAAAGATGGCTAATCTGGACTCTATAGGTCTTTGATATGTCCATTTAGCTCACTTGCAAATAAAGTGACATTTAAGTTGAAAATTACTGTCCCTTATTTGTTGGTGTTCTTGATTAAAGACAAAATTTATAATTGAAAATGTTTTTGAATATTATAGTTTGTTTTTTAATTTTATGCAATGCCACTTAAAGGCTATCTTTGATAGTCATCCCCAATTTTGAAGTGATAGACTAGAGGGATTGCAGATAGTTAACACCAGTTCTTAGGCTACACTCTATCAAAAAATGATGGGATTGACCATCATTTTATAATGACCTCACAGCTGAAAGGATGAGCAAGTTCAGTAACAGGTTTTAATCCTATTATCTGTTGATTCGTGAATTGAGTGACCTAACCAGTAAATCACGCCAGGCCCTAGAAAGGCAACTCGCCAACACCATCCACCAACAATTCTCTGCCAATAAAAAGTGGGTTGACCACATTATAATGCTCTCAAAGGTGAAAGGGCAAGGAAGTTTGGTAACAGGTTTTGATCCCTTGAACCAAATATTGCCTTGGTGTTATTGTGCTAAGAAATTTGCTTACAGGCTAAAGTAATTTCTAGGGTTTTTTACATTGAAAACTCACTGAATTTTATTACCTAAAGCAACCTCTAGTGGGCCAAATTAAAATTTGAAAATAACCACTTTACTGTATTTTAATGATATGACTGTACAGTCTCAAGTTGGACAGACAGGTTTTCTGTGTATTTTTTTTTGGCACCCACATGTTGAGGTGGCCCTTATGAGAATTTCTTTAATGCTATACAAGTCAATTTTGCATTGTATATAAAACCCCAGCCAACATCTAGGTAAAAAAAAAACAAAAAAAAAACTAACATTAGAAATTTTTAATATGTCAATCCTCCATGAAAGAAATTCACAGTAATTAACAATTTTAAGCTTTGCAGTTACAATATTTTTTTACTAAATGATAGTTATTTAGAATCAGATGCCTTCACATATGAAATATAATACCAGAATAATTTTAACAGCATTCACTATGCTTTGAAATTATAATAAAGCAGCATCAAAATCACAGGTGAGGGACACTTTTACCTAAATGTTTAGTTACTCATCTTGGAGAAACAACATAAAACTTTCACTTTATATATTAACTTCATATCAAGTCTAATCTAATTAAAAAGCTACCCCCCAAAGTAATTTACATACAATTAACTAACTTAAAGACTACTAATTTTTCTAAATCATCTACTTGAACATTAAATTTTCTGAACACTGAACTGATTTTATGATCTCTTGACAAAGTTTGTAAGGCTCACCTTTATACAGTTTTGAATACATTATATTAAAGCAATTTTTAATATGCAAATTAGTAAGTCACATGACAACCACAGCTGATATAGAAATGGTGTGTATCAGAACACATTTTGACATTGTTCTCTTATAAGAAGGGTATGCAGCAGCCTTTTCCAATGCAACATATTCATAGGCTCAGTTCACAGATTTTTTTTCAGATTGGGAATATTCCTTACACTTAATGGCATAGAAAAACAAAGGAATATGGATCAAATTGGGGAACATGGACCATCTACAAAGAAACCTGCAACAATTCATAATCCACCTTATATATGTAAAGTGGGCCATCTTGTAGCAAATGAGAATCCATTGATACAAAAATTAGTGGCAGAAAATTTTGACATGCCCCAGGCAATAGTACACAGCATAATCAAGAAGAATCTTCATTTGGAAAAGCAACAAATGTGTTGTACACAAGTTGTTTCTATGACAGATGCCTTCATCCATTGCATACCTCAAACAGCTGAAGAATGAAACAGATATTCATACTATTCCATATAAAGACATACAGGTCAAGTTGCTGGATGCAGTACACATGGATTTTTGTACAATCTGACTGTTGAAATGGGTCTGGGAAAACAGTGTCCTTATAAATCAGATTGATTATGGAAGCATGCAGAGAAAAGGGGCATGCTTTGCACACAACAACCTTACGAGGCAGCCTTTTACAATGGAAAGTATGCTGCAGGGCTATTGTATATATGCATGGTTGACAGACAGAGCATGACCAAATATGGTGAAACTAAAATATAATTTACTTAACTTTTATTCAAGTAACATAAGGTTGAATTTTTGGAGAAGATTTGATTTGCATAAATCAAAATAAACTCTACACAAACTATTTATTGATTAAACTTGTAACAGAACTACCAAAACAAATCAAATGTATTTATGTAATAATCAAAGCAACATAATACCTAATAACATTGTTATTGATATAAATAACACACCTAATAATTTGATATTCCACATTATATTTTCCATAATTATTGCCAGAAACTGGGATGGGATGAATGACCCTATCTTTAAGATGATCATAAGCTTAGAATATCCTGTCTAGGGACTTCATTTATAGTCATTTCCGAAATACAAAGAATTTTTGTTAGCTTTCTTTTTTATATATAACGTAGAAGGAAGTTTTAGAAGATCCGTTTTCTCAGGTCACTCTGAAGTTCAACTTGTAATTTCCGTACACCTTGCGTAAAAGAACATTTTTCATTGAGTTTGGTGATTTCTATAGATAACTTTTACTTTCTAACCATAGTCTTCATACATTTTGTTTTCATCTTTTTCTTTTTATAACACTGTTCCCCACATTTTCTTACCATGTGGGTCTTCCCAGTTGGCTAAACTTTTCTTCTACTCAGATTCGAGGAGATTCGTCCAAATGGAACGAAGTACTGGTACAAAACGCAAAACCTGCCATAACTCCCTTAAAACGCATAGTAGGAAGGTGAAACTTCGCATGATACAGTGGAATGAACTAGTGAATATACATAGAATTTGGTTAAGATCCATCAATCAAGAACCCTCTGATGGCAAGAAATCTATAACAGAGCAATATCAAAAAGCTTAACTGCAGTACACATACTCTTTCAGAATCCAATAAAGTAGTAACAAAATGGACCACAAAAGTCACAAAAATGATAATATGAAGCTAGAATTTCGCATGTAAATACGCAAGTACGCAACAAACGTTCATAAAAAAATTCGAGAAGATTCGTCCAAAATGAACGAAGTACTGGTACAAAACGAAAAACCTTCCATAACTCCCTTAAAACGAATAGTAGGAAGGTGAAACTCTGCATGTAACTGCGTAACGATAAAGTGTACCTACATACCAAATTTGGTGAAGAACCATCAATTCAGGACCCTCTTCTAAAAAGAAATCGAGAAGCAATCGGTAACAAAAAGCTTCACTGCTGTACACATACGCTTTCAGGGAAGCCTA